ATGTTCTTACACCAGGGAGACAATTTGATGTTTACACATATGTTGCATCCATTTACCTACAAAAGCCTTGAGTTTATCTTTTTTTACAGCTGAGTAATACTCCATGTATAGAAATACCACATCTTATGTATCCATTCCTCAGTTGATGGGCATTTGGGTTGTTTCCAAGATTTAGCTATGACAAATTATGCTGGTATAAACATGGGTGCAGGAACAAGTCTTCAGCTTTATTTCTCTGGAAATATAATAGTACCTCACTTTATGAATGCTTCTGTTTGTAAACAATTCAGTTCAGAAATAAAAATATTTGGCAAAATTTTGCTTTCATTCACTGTATCAGGTGACAAACATAGCCATGGCCATTGTCTAACTTTTGCTTTGCTGAGACAATATACTCAACACCAAAAGTTAAATTAGGAAAGGTTTATTTTGGCTCACAGTTTGTAGAGGTTTCAGTTTGTAGGTGACTGGCTCTAAGTCAGATGACATTGCAGAGGATCATTCAGAGGAGAAAAACTTCATGGTGGGTAGAAGGAAGCAAAGTAGCAAAGAAGCAGTAGCAGCTCTAGTTTTATCCTTCATATTCCATCCAGGCTACCTACCAGTGGGGCACCCTTAATCACAGCATGACACACTTAATCACAGTATCACACACCCTAGAACTAGCCACACTTGAAAAGCATCACCTATAACCACAGTGTGCTTTGGGGAGACATTTCTATGCAAACTACAACAGCCATCTTCTTCACACAAACACAAACACAGTTACCTTCCTCAAAATCATAAAATAAATTAAGTTCATAAACTGAGGTACCACTGTATCTTCAAATTCATTTTTGAAAGATAATTGCACTCAAAAATGTTTTTGTTTACTTGCACCAGAGAAACAATGTAGTATTTACACATGTGTCTGATTTGTTCACTTAATAGAATGGCCTCAAGGTGCATCAATTTAGCTAGAAATGTCTCAAGCTTATCCTTCTTCACATCAAAGTAGTACTCCAGTGTATAGAAAAAAACCACATCTTATTTATCCATTCATCAGTCGAAAGGCATTTGGGCTGTTTCCAAAATTTAGCTATTACAAACTGTCCTGGTATAAAATTGGATGTGCATATCACTGAAATAGGAAGAAAATTTTCAAATGGGAAGGAGAGCTATAGAGGCAGGAAAAGGAAAAGAAAAACAAATGATGAGTAAAAAAAGGGAAAAAAAGAATCAAGTTATAACTTGTACAGATATAAATTTCCTATAGTGATGTGATCATTATATAGACCTAAAATGTACCATTAAATGTAATTAATTAAATAATTTTTAAATTAAAAATTAAAAATGTGAAATATCATTAATTGCACCAACATATGCATAATGATAGCACAGAAAGGTGAGGGAATAAAAGGAGCAGAAAACTACTCAAAGTAATAATGTCTGAAAATACAGTATTATTTTGAAGGAAAACATTTTTAACGTTTTTAAAAGTTTAAATGTTCAGTGAACTCTGTGTCTTAATTACTTTTCTCATTGTTGAGCCAAAATACCCAACATTTTGAGTCCACTGATTGCATTAGCATTATTCTAGGTGTGGGTAATAGGAAGCTCCACCCTGGATGTGGGTAGCATTACCCAAAAGACTTGTAGCCTACATATAAACAACTGCATATATGTTATTTTTTGTTCAATTAATTCCTTGGTAATTTAGAGAAGTAAAAGCAAAACAACCAAAACACACACACACAAAAACCAACTAAAAAACCTATATAAACTGAAGAGAAAGAATTTGTATCCTGGCTGTGTCTCTTCTTTCACTCCTTTCTAGTATTTTTTTAAATTTTATTTTAAAAATAACAGAAGGAAAACATATTAACAAACAGACATCCTTCTACAAAATAGCATAGGAACAATACAAGCAATACAGAGTTACAGACAAATTGGTAGGAAATTAACAATGGTTGTTTTACTACATATTGATATCTTCAAAGTGATTTCTCAAGAAAACAGAGACATGCAAGATAGATCAAATAAGTAATCATTATCTTTTCCTTTCAGTAAAGTGATAGAAGTCAGTAGTACAGCTGTTAGCTATCCTGTATATACATACATAATTTCCCCTTTTTTCTTTTCTCTTTTCCCTCACCCCAGTTGCTCTTTACTTTTGAGCATTTTCCTTTCGTTTTACAATGTCTGTCATACCTCCTAATATTTATCCACTCTTTCAGGTTCTTACACTAGTGAGACAATATGTTGCTTACACATGGAGGTCTGGTTTATTTCACTTATGAGTATGGTCTCTAGTTGTGACCATTTAGCTGTAAAAGCCTCGAGTTTATCTTTCTTTGTAGCTGAATAATATTCCATTATATAAAAGTACCACAATTTTTTTATCCATTCTTAAGTGGATGGACATTTGGGTTGCTTTCACAATTTAGCAATTACAAATTGCACTGCTATAAACATAGGTGCACATATATTGCTGTGATATGATGTTTTCAGATCTTCTGGGAAAATACCCAGAAAGGCAATAGCTGGATTGAATGGGACCTCTAGACCTAGTTTTCTGAGGAATCTTCAAACTGATTTTCACAGTGGTTTCACCAGTCTCATTCCCAACAGCAGTGGAGAAGAGTTCCTGTTTCTCCACCCACTTCATTATCATAATGAATAACCATCAGCCATTTAACTCCTCTCAGTCTGAAAACCAATGTTCAGATAGAGTCCCTAAGCAAAATCTTTCTCTGTATAAGACATCATGATCTACATATATCTGTAATTCTGTTTTATATAGTGCAGTGCTTGTCTTTTTTTACAGTATGAAAGATCATGACCAATTTTTATACTACTGATTGAGTTTTTAAATTTGACATAGAGTAAATTTAGAAAGCATACCATGGGGGAAAATAATGGTTTATTATGTGCTGTTTTCCCTCTTTTTAAACAAATTGAGGAAAACTATCTTGACATCCACTTTGGATTTTATTATGCCATTCCTTTTTTTATTAGTACATGTTTGCCACACATAAGGATTACATTCATCAAGGGCATTGGTACATGTGCATAACACATCTTATTTCCTTTTTTTCTCCCTTCTTCACCTCTCCAGTTCCCCTCCCTTCTCCATTCATTGGTCCCCTTCCTTTATGCAAAATTTTTGTCACCTGTTTCCTATTATCTTTTGTTTTGTTGTATAATTTATTTATATTTTGGGTTTCTCATATAAGAGAAATCTTATGATATTTAAGCTTATGCATCTGATTTGTTTCACATAACATTATGGTCTCAAGGTGTGTCCACTTTTCTACAAATAAATGTAGCCCTCTTTATGGCAGAGTATTACTCCATGGTACTACAAAATGGTACTACTGAATGGAGTAGTACTCCATTTTTGTGCTATTCTGAAAATTTAAACACACAAGCATATAAATATTTTTAATATATAAGAGGTAGATATATCTATAAATTGTAGCAATAGAATATATGTATATAAAGGAATATATGTTTGCTTACTAAAAATAAAAAAGAAGCAGCATTTCAAAAACTATGCCAATTTTATCAGTGAGACAGAATTAAACTGATAGCATAAGTACAAAGATAAGTATGTTATGTGCAGTAATTGGTTTATTTCCATTTTCTTCTCTCTTCACATATTTATTTAAAACAATAAGGAATTTGAATAATCTAATCCTTCCCAGATAAATTGTTTTTGATGCATGCAAATAGATTATATCATTAAAAATATTTTTCAATTACAAAATATATCATCTACATTCGTTATCTAGTAGACTTTCTTTGAAACAAATTGGATAGAAATTGAATAATTTTGAATGTCCATGATATGATTTACATTGCAAATTTTTGTGCATGTGAAAAGAATTTGCTTGCATTTTAGAAAAATTATTGATCCTAGTATGAATTTTTGTAGTAATATATTTCATTGTGCAGATAAGTATATATGCCAGTGTCTTCAATTTTAAATTCATTCATCTTCAAGAATAAGTAAAATAACTAACTTTACAAGAAATTAGATTTATATATGGAAAATATAAAGTAATTAATATTGGATAATTTTATAAATATTGATTCTATTGCACACAATTGTTACAAGTTTAAAAATTGTTTACAAGTTCAACAAGAATATTAAGATATGTAGACTTTACCCTGACCGATAATTACGTTATTATTTGTTAATTTAAATTATTTAACTGAAATTTTAAAATTCTTACACATGAATATAATTTAGATTACATTTAATAAAATCATATTTTCAATTAGGAAAAAGTCAAAGAGAAGGAAGAAAATCCGAATCTTGTAAACCAATTCTTAAGGTAGAATACAAGACCTGCAGAAACAGGTATGTACTTTTGCTTTAATGAATATGAGATTAGATGTAAGAAACAGAGACAAGAAAGACCGATAGCTTGTACTGTTAATATACTGTTTAAATTTTCACTTAATTAAAAATACAGTAATTAATTGAATCCTCTACCTTAATAAGAACTGATTTTTTGATAAATTAGCATATCTATGGTGATGAGCATTATGAATATTGAAAATAATAGGGATTAGTTATTTTAAAGTGGTTATTATTCATTAATTTTAGTAACAGGAATTTGGGCCATGAACATTAAAAGTAGAAATACTGAGCTTTTCCTCTGTCAAGTTTATTTCATATTACAATTTGTCTCTTATCTCTCAGAGATTTGAGGACTCACATGATAACTAGTTCATGGAATATTGTAACACAAGCTAATATTTTATTGAATAAAATAGTGATTTAGAGTTTTGGAACCAGATAATTTGTTAAAATGTCTTAATGGATGTGGGAACAAGAGATGAGGGAGAAGTGTAAGGGGGTGGATAAAAATATAATTGAAGAAAAAAAATGAAATATTGTTTGCAAATAGAAAGGGATCAAGACGTGGAGGGAGCAGAGAGGGAGAGTGGAAGAAAAAAGAAAAAGAAAGAAAGAAGATGTATTATGTACATGTACCAACTCCCCATAATAAATGTAATCATTATGTTCTGCAAACATATACCAATAAAACTTTATCAAAGGAGTCAGTGTATAAGTACTTCCACTTCTCTTCAACTTCATGCCTTACTCCAACAGCTTTAAACCCACCCATTTTTAAATAACTATCATTTCCCCAAAAAAGGGATATGGTAAAATAGTAGGTGGTTGTGTGAGATATTTTGGATTAGGAAACTCTTCACTGTCAAATTTCTTAGTATATAATTCTCATCAAATTTATTCTTTAAAGCTTAGTTCTTGGACTTTATGTCATCTTAAAGGACTTCTCAAACTTGTTAATCTTTTTCCTATATAGTGAACCATTCATAATATTTTCTGGTGGACTGTCCTATGACAAAGCTTGCAGAAGACCAAGTTTAACCATTATGCATGGAAAAGCAATTACAGTACTTGAAATGGATCACCCTATTGTTGAATTTCTAACTTTATGTGAAACACCTTATCCAAATGGTAAGTGACTAAAATGAAACTTTTAATGTTGAAAATATCATTTTTGAAAGATAAGTTCCTAACAAAATTAAGGTTAAATATTTTCAGTTTTGGCAGCAGACATCAACTGGGGTACACTGTGAACTACAGGTGCTGGAACAGGTTCTGCAATTGTACCTACTTGACAAACTGGAAGTAAGACAGATGTAGTGCAGCAGTGCTGGCGTTTCAGGTTCTAATGTCAGGTAAGTGCTTTAAACTTTGATAAGGATGGTGGAAGCTGAGCTGGGAGGGTCCGATAGGGGTCCAGGGTGAAATCACTTGGGGAAACTGAGGTCTCCTAATAGTCTCTCCTTGTCCAGCTCCACCCATCCCATCCCAAAGCTAATCAAAGTTAAAGCACTTACCTGATATCAGTGATCTGTAACTCTGGTGGTGCTGCATCTGTTTCACATCTGGTTTTGCTTCAGATGCAACTGCAGCATCTCTGATTACTGTAGGATTGCTGATGTGTGGTTAGTGATTCATTTCAATTTTGAGCATAATTAGATCCTTCAGAGGAGAGATGCATGTTTATTTTTATCATTATGAATATAAAACTTTTGTAAACATAAAAACTACTCTGAATGCTTGCAAACTAATGAAATCTAGTAGTGATAAAAATATGTGGATGAATTATAAAAAGTGGGGATGAAAACATAAAAATGAAAGAATTTACAATTGAAACAGCATAGTGTGTGTATACATTACTATATTTTGAAGAAAGAACATGTAGAGGTAGAAGAAAGACCACTGGAGTTGGGGAGAGAACAACTGGGTTTATAATTTAGTTGTTACTTACTAGTTATGTAACACTGAAGAAGACATTTTGCATTTAGGATTTTTATTTATCAGTTATACAAATATAATAATAATAATGTCCCTACATGATTATTGGAAGATAACATATTTGATAAACCATGAACATATATCTATGTTGTGAGTTTTAATATAATATGCATTAATTTCTTTAAAATTATTTAGATTTATATTTAAAGATGGAATAAATAACACTAAATGTAATACTTTATCTCCAGAGTTACTAGGAGAAATTACCTGTGTTTTGATTACTCAGTAAATATTGATTCAATGCTTATATGTTCTCGGTTCTACAAGGACTTGTTGAACATATAGATGCAATATGAAACTGATCCCTGAGGCCAAGTTGTATAAAAATTAATGAGTGAGATACTTATGACTTGTTAAGCTGAAGGAATGTAAGAATTTAAGTATTGAGTTACATGGTTCAGAGTTTTAGTAATGTATAAATTTATAGGCTAGTTACATTGTCAGTAATTGAAATATTCATGCAAACCACAGAAAGGCAGAATTTAGGTAGATCTTAAAAAGAACACTAAGTAATGATTTTTGAAATTGTTCACTAAGGTGTTAGGAATTTAAAATGAAAACTCAATGCCTTTTACAGATGTTTGGAAATAGGAAGGAACAGAGAAATTTTGAGGAAATATTAGGATGATAAAATCATTAAGCTTAGCAGGATTTATCCAAAAGGAACATGTAGGTTTAAAGAGAAACTGAAGGGTGTGGGGGTTTAGCTCAGCGGCAGAGCATCTGCCTGGAAAGCGCGAAGTCGTGAGTTCGATTCCTGCTACTGGGGGGGATGGAGAGAAACTGAATCTTAAATTCCAGATTCTAACCAGGAGATTTTTGTAAAAATACATATTTAAAACAATCAAGGCCTGACATAGGGTGTTGCCTGAGGAATGAAGTGAGGAAAAATACCTTTGATTGTGGCAAACTACTGCATTAGGAAGCGACATGATAGATGAGTCAGAGGTAACTGCACGTTTTAAGAATAGTGACTTCATGCACAATAATAGCAATTTTTGAAAGAGATTAAGACTGAGTTAGAAAAATTATTCAGAGAACAGAAAAAGAACAAGGATTGCAATATTTGTTCATAAATCATTAGAATATAAATATTCTTTGGAATTATCATGAATGGTGAAGAATATAGGGAGAAAGAATACATGACTAAAATCTGAAAATAGGAAATACTTCCTCTTTAGAGTCTTGAGGAAGATGTGCCAGCAATAAAAACAGAATATGTGTTTGCAAACATCAAACACTGTATGTCTCTGTGTACATAAATTTGTGCTTACCTATAGCAATGTTAGAACAATTTCTAAAGATGCTTAATAAAGTATAAATGCAGTATAACTATGCCTGTTCATTTCCAACCCATGTATTAAATCTTCACTTTTCAGAAGTCTGGCAATAAGAACTGAACTTTCTATTTGCCAGGAGATAAGAGTACTTTGACTTTACTCAGTGAAATATAAATGTGTCATAATAACTATTTAGATGTTGTTAACTAAAACAGTTAATATATCAAGATGGCATTTTAAAACACCCACAAAATACAGTGATATATAATGAAAAGTTTTTCACTGCCCTTCAAGAGGCAACCAATATTAGGTTCTTATATATCCCCAAATAACCTATGTGTATATATTCATTTACTTAAATATGTAATCTCTTTTGTACAAATGACAGAGTATATAATATCCTATATCTTACTTTTTATAATTGATAGTAATTTTAATCGATATTTCATATTAACAAATATAAAATTTCAGTCTTTTCTACAGCCACATAATTGTAAATATCATAAATAGGTTAAAGAGTTACTAACTTTTTAATATTGCTAAATAATTTATGACATCTGACAGTTCAACTTGTTTCTCAAAAAGCGTAAGTGCTTTAATGTTGTTTTCTTAAGATGCATTGCCTAAAGGTATTAACCAACAGTAATTAGAATTTGGCATCTTCACAGAGTTAGCTGTATCTAGTCCTCTACAATTCCCAAAATAATGTTTTTTCTCTTTAGAGAAGCACTAATTATGCTAGCACTTTCCACTATGTTGAGGGCCAGAATAATATAACTGAAATAAACCAATCTAATGAGGTAATACAGTTGTTTATGATAGTACACCTATCATGAACCAGGCTTTGCATTAAATATCCTCATATATATTTCTTCATCCAATCTTTATGACAGTCTAATGTAGTTCTTATTATGCTTTTCAGTTAGTACATAAATTTAATTATAAATAAATAAAGTAATTTGCCCAAGATCACATTTGTAGTAAATAACCAATGCAGAATCAAACTCAACATTGACACCCATAGAGGTCCTTTGTTCATGGATTATCACAGAACACAAGGTACTTCAATAAAAATGGAACTTCTGCTTCCAGTTTTTGTTGTTTGTAAAGGAATAACAATAATGTAAAACAGCTATAACTACCTAAAATTGTAATTTATCTATTTATAATTAATTCATACATGCCAGTGTATCAGCTACTTTATTTCTAGAGCATTTGCTTTCTAACCAATAATGTTCCTAAGGAGGGAGGGCAAGATGAAGTAATCATATGGAACCCTATTATTCCTAAAATTGAAAAGCAAAACATATTGAAACAATGTGGAAAAACTTAAAACAGTTGTAAAGATAAGGGAGAGGGGAAAGTCAGGATTTGAGAACAGTAGCAAACAGTATGTAGATCACATAATCTCACATGGATATATACACAAACACCAATGCCAGAAGACTATCTCACATTTTCATTTTTTTATTTGCATGTTTTTAAGGTTTTCTCTTATATTCATGTGGGTTGTAAACATAAACCTGAATAGACTGTAGCTTCTCAGATCTAGAAGAATTGTGAATGTTGTTTATTCCAGTGTTTTAATTTCTCATCCAAGACTTCAGTCCTCTGGACAAAATTCCTACCAAGTGATTGTAGAGTTTAATATTACATATTTCCCAAACTAGCCACTAGAAATGGCTGGTATAATGAAACCAAGATAGAATTTTAAATCAGAAGGCCTGAGTTCACACTTTAGCTCAATCCCACATTAGTTGTCTAAGCTATACCGGTATCTCCACTTTTTTGGACCTCGATTTTCTCTATAAAATGAAATATAATACAGTACCTATTCTAGCTAATGAGAATCAAATATTATGTATGTGAAATATGTTTATAAACACATCTTCCTCAAATTGAGAATGATTCTTTCCCTATAGTGTTTCTTAGTAGTCCTTTATTGTAAATGGAAAGCAGTATCTGTAAATAAATTAGGATTCCCTCCTGCAAAAACAAGTCATTTTTATTCCATTACCTTTATTGTTTCTTTCTTCCATAGCTCATATTGCTTCCAAATTCTTCTTATTCCTTTGCTTGTTTGTGGACTGTAAAAATGCCCTTATGATGTAAACTCTCTCAGAAAGAGTGCTTTGTCAGTGTTATTCTTAAGATGCGTTTCTCACACCTATTGGAGGAAGGAAGAAAGAAAGAAAGGAAGGGAGAGAAGAAAGGAGAGTATATGATTTTTCTAGGCATGTAGTATTACTACCATAGGGAAGTGAATAGGTATCATACTCCAGAAAAACACAGTTACTATTTCCTTAGGATATCTGCTTGGAGAAGTGAAAATGGAGCTAAAATGCAAGGGTTATGAAAGAGTAAAATAAATGCTTATATGTTAGAGGTGATAATCTCACTCTTCACGCAACACTTCTATCACTACCCCAAGATTATTGAGATGAATTTAACTCTGTTATGTAACGTCTCATGTTTTCCTTCTGCTCTATATTGATTTAATTTTAAATTTAAGAAAAATAGCATATATTTTATTAAAGTGTTCTTTGTTACATGGACTTATATATTTTGGTCTTAACTCATTTAAATAAAATTTATATAGGAGGTAAAGAATATGTAGTTACATTGATTTTTTAAAATAAAATATGCAATATGAAAACTTTTCAACTTTCTATTTTTACTTGTAGAATATCAAGAGCCTTATGCCGTTGTGGTACTTCTGGAGAAAGATCTCATTGTAGTTGACCTGACACAGAGCAAGTAAGTTCCTCATGGACAGATCAATTACAATGATTTTTAAACTCTATTCGTTACAATTAAAATGCAGGAGCACATTTAATATAATTATCATTAATATTCTCTACATAGTAAGTTCCTTATGTGAAAGTTGTTCTGCTAAAATTATAGAAATGAAATTTTATTAAATGATGAAAACTGAACCAGAAGAATCTGGGTAACTGTAAGGCATTTGAAAGACACCTGATATTTAAACAAAAGCATATGTAGACTCAGGACGTAAAATGAATCATATTTCTGCTATTTCCTTAAACAAAAGCAATTGTAACCAAGACTTATATGTATAATAGCTGACCATCTGCTAGTCTATTGACTGAAAGAAAATTGGCTAAAAAAAAATGGCACTTAATGCAAGTATTTTTAGACTACTGTAGCAGACAATACAAAAGACCAGAATCTTTGTGACAGAAAAGATGGAGAACAGCTTTTGCTTTCTTTAATTTTACAGTATGTTGTGGGTAGTTGAAACAGATATGGAATATTGTTATGTGATGCTTTCTTACAGTGGCACTCCTCTACATTGATAGTAAAAGTGGACTTGAAACTGATGTCTTCTGGCTACATATTTTCATATTTTGATTATAAATTATAACTGGCATGAAGCGAATTTCCCTTCATTATATATTCTAAATATATTGATCTTTTAACCCCATTTTTCTGAAGCAGAATTTTATGCATTCTTTTTCCTCTTGCTGGAGTAATTTTTTCCTTTTGTCCTAGTGAGCATCTTAAAAATCTCAGTTCAGGTATCAGTTTCTCATTAAAAAGAAATCTTTCATTATCTATATTATTTGGTTAAGTGCCTCTAAGGAGCTCTCAGAGCCCCACCATCCTCACTTCGAACCTTTCACATAGATAGAACTTTTCCATTTGTCGTTCTTAAAGATTGTCCCATTTCTGAACTATAGGCTCCTTTATGGAGTCTGCTTCCTCCAATACATTTTTGTTAAATAAATTACAGTCTGAGTTCTTTCCACATAGTACATATTAACCCATCATTCCTTTTGCTGAATATTTGTCAGTATTTAGAGGGATATGTAGGATGTGGGATGTAAAGATCAAAGCTGTGATTTCTGTGTAGCTGTGCTACTTATCAACAGTAAACTTGATTAATTTTGTATATAAGTATGGATTTATGCTTCTTCACCTAAGAAATTCTAAAATAAATTTTATTAAGGTTGAGCTTATGATCTTATCGAGCTTCTGATCTTATTGGTGCTCAACCCTTCTTTGTTCTTTATATTTATTGGTTCCTCGGGCTTTGGCCATGTCTAATATTCTCCAAGGCCTATTTTACTTTACCCTTAATATGGTACTCTATTTCTTCAGTATACACATATATTTTCATTTAAATTGTTCATTGCAATAAAATGTGTGTAACATAAAATTACTATTTTATGCATTTGTTCTTTTTCTGCTTATTGCATTAAATATGTAAACTGCTATTTTCTATGTAAGTTTTTATCTAACATTTTACCTTCTTAAGCACCAGATTTTTAAATTTATATGATATTCCAATTTCATTGGCTATTCTATGAAATTTAGCAAATAGAAATTGATTAAATTGTCTTTCTTGTCCAATATATATTAGTTACTTCTCAGCCATGTTGAAAATTATACAAGTTGTAAGTTTGCAATCCTTTTCAAGTATCTTTCTTTCTTTCTTTCCCTTCTTTGCATCTTCAACATGAAGGCAAGCATTAGGATGTACATATTTTTCTTCTTCTTAGCTTCTTGGATTCATATCTTCAGTTCCATTTCAAGAGCAACCAGTTTACATTTCAATATTGTAGTAAATTTTTAGTTACTGTTTTCCTCTTTTATATCCTATGCCTACTGTTTGCCAATATAGTAAAATAATTTTCCCAATTATTTTTAATATACTGTTCACATTGTTAGGAGCATAACACTGTTACTTCTTTATCAAATTCTAAGATACAGGTTTGGTATTCAACGTAATTCATTCATTTTACTTCCTAGTTTTGAATCTCACACATGTTAATAATTTGTACTCTGAAACAGAAAATTTCTGATCCATGCAGTTATACCTATGTTTTACTTAGTAAACATGACTTCTCCTTTCCATTTAATTTTGCATATTATACTGTCTTTACCTGAGATACCATACCTTCTGCAGCATTTCAGATTGTAAAAAGAGAATTCCTGCCAGCACATACCCATGCTATATTTTCTGGATATTGGACCATCTTCCTAATTCTTAATTAAATTCCTAATAATATCATGAGAAAATTGTTTTTAACATTCTCTCTTCTCCCTAATCAAAAACATTTCATCAGAAGTAGTGTTATCACAAAGACCTAGAACAGGTGTTCATAGAATATTATTTCCTTGTTGTTACATGAGAAGTTCTTAATATATCTACAATACTTTTTTCATTGATTCTGTATTCATGCCCTTTTTAAGGTTATTGTAGACTTGAGGGAATTTATTGCATCCATGAGACTTCATGCCAACTATGTGCTCTATAGATGATCTTTAAAACATATACCATCATATACTTATACACATCCTATGTATTATACATATTTTTCAATTACTCCTACAAAAAATTAAATATTTGCCTATGGTTTACCTCCCTTTGAAAAAATACCAAAGTGTACTAACATTCAAATATTTATGACTATATTATATAAACATTTAGATAAAATAGCTACTATAATTTTTAATAAATTAAACTTGTTACATAATGTTTTCAATTTAATATAATTCATTTTATTCACATAGCATTTTATTCACATAGCAGTGTCACTGTAGAATCTTGGAATTCTTGGAAGAAAATAAATTTGAATAGATTTCTTGCATTATTAAAATTGTATTTTGTAGATAACTATTTTAAAAAGAATATATTATTTATATGATTCTTGTTTGATGTTGCTGAGAACAAGTGAAGTTTATAAAAGTGTTTAGAAACATTTTAGGGTTCAATATTAAAATTATTCCATTTTTTACATGTGTAAAATGACACTGATATATTGTCTTTATCTATTAGTTTTCCAATCTTTGAAAATCCATATCCCATGGACATTCATGAGTCACCAGTTACATGCACAGCTTATTTTGCCGACTGCCCTCCAGATTTGATTCTAGTACTCTATTCTATAGGAGTCAAGCATAAAAAACAAGGATACAGTAATAAGGTAAAAGTAGAAACTAAAAGTCATTTTTCTTGTATTTATAATATATTGTCATACTAAGTATATATATATCTATACTTAAACTAGTACATTAGAATCATAGAATGTAACCTTTAGTATCACAAGCATATACTAATAAAAAGTAGAAAAATATGTAGCCTTAATTATTTTAGATGAAAGATTATGCTGTAGCATTAAGAAATTCAAATCTATTCTCTTAATCATTTATTAATTGATCCATAGTTTAGAAAACATGACTGTTAAAAATAGTTTGTTAATAACATCCCAAAATTTATTTTTGTTTTTACTGTAAGATCAAATATTTACAATTTCCACAGACCATCTATTATGGTTTCTGTTATTTGCCAGCTCTACTGGAATGGATAACTCTAAGAGACACCATTACATAGTATTCTGTTCAAATAACTCCATAATAGTTAAGTGATGCACAGACTATGTAATTCACATAGCAATATTTTCTTTGTAAAATTAAAAATACTTCTTTGGTTTGTGTATATGAATGATAATATTAGTTAAAATCTAATCTATTTGTAATGGAGGTAAAATTGTGCAGAGAGGTATTTGTTCAATGAAGAGTAAAAGATAACTACATACTTCATCCTTTATTATTTTATAGTTATTTAATGTTACTTGAGCTTTTTATCATTATTTTAAAATACTTCAGTTTTTAAGTCATTCAAGTGAAAAATATAAAAAATTTACATATTCTTCCTGGATAATCTATTTAGGAGTGGCCAATCAGTGGAGGAGCTTGGAACCTTGGAGCACAAACATATCCAGAAATTATTATTACTGGGTAAGTGAGATATTTTGCAAGTTACCAGTTGATTAACAAAACTGTATTTGTTGAATCTTGACACTTTATAATTGTGCTGTATGCTAACAGTTTGAGTAAGTGTAAAATTATAAGACATAGCTCCAACCTAAAGATTCTAATCTTGATGGAAGATAAAATCAAGCTATATAAAGCAGAAAGAATTATATATAGATTATATATGAAAAAAAGTCAGGAAAGTTAAACTGAGAGATGAGTCGGAAAAGCTTTGTGTACAAATGACAGAACATGAACTTCAGAAAGATCCTTACTAACATCTCCTAATTCCTGCCAAGTGCAGAAATTGCTGCTGTATGTCACTATCAAATGATTATAGTGTGCTTCAAAACTTATGGCACTAAAAAGATCATTACCTTGTATAGTAACCCACTGCATATTCTTATATTAGGAGTGAAGAGAGACATAGCTAAAGATAAGCATGAAAGAAGTTCTATTAAGGGGAAGATAGAGTAAATATACTTTATCCTCATTTTTTTGTTATATATAAGACAAACATATGTGAGAAGCATGGAGTGACATTAGACGGACTAGGACCCTCAAGTTCCAAAGAATGGCAATGTAGTTGGTTCCTTAGGTTTTTTCCCTGTCTCATATATCCCAGAAGTGGAGTTGAAGAAGCTGGAAAATTGAACCTATGAATAGGCACAGAACAAACAAAGGCAAGTTCACTTTAGCTAAAGGATGAGGAAAAGGACATTGTACCAAAACACAAAATTTTTATAAAATAATCTTTCTACTTGATTTAAGCAATATGCAGCATGCACAAACAGACAGGCAGGCAGACAGACACACACACACACATACACACAGACCCTCATCAAGTTGTAAGGAGTTACTTCAACTTCCTGAGAGTTTCAGAGAAGGCAGAGCAAAAAGCTGGACTTTGAAGTCCACTGTGAAAAAGTTGTCCATGGTGGTATCACTGGAGAACACATGAGAGCCAAAATTCCCAAGACTGCTCAAGAGTAATAAGGAACACTACTCTTCACCCTTTGTGTCAGTGGAAATCAAATGAAATGGGAGAGAAGAAAGAGCAAGGTTTAAAAAATTGTCAAAGACATAATGGCTGAAAACTTACAGATTTACCAGAAAGCATGAACTTACAGATTCTGTAGGCTGAGCAAACCCTGAAAAATTCATATCAAGATTCATCATACATACTTCTGAACACAAAGCACCAAAAAGAAATTTTGAAAAACAAAGAGAGAAATGATACCTTACCTGTAGGGGCACACCAATATGTTAAATAACAGATTTTTCACCAGAATCCCTGGGATCCATAAGAAAGGAAATCCTTCTAGAAGAAAACATTTTTTAAAATATGTAATTTTTATTTTTTATGTTTTTTGGTACTGGGAATTGAACTCATGACCTCTGGCTTGCCAGGCAAAGTGCTAAAGCCGCTGAGCTGTATCCCCAGTGTAAACAATATGTAATTTTTAAAAGGATAAAAGGAAAAAACTTGTCAACCTAGAAACTTAACAATTAGTGAACATAACTATCTAGAACTAAGGAAAAATCAAGACATTCCCAGATGAACAAAACTAAGGGAATCTTTTGAAATCAAATTTACCTTAAAGGGTGGCTAAAGAAAGTTCTTTACACTTAAAGGAAACAAAAAATAAGGAACCTTGGAACATCAAGAAGGAAGAAAGAGTGTAGTAAGCAAAAGTATTCATGGATATCATAAGTGTTCCTTCACATGAATTTTTAAACGTATATTTGATGGTTGAAGCATAGATTATAGTAACATTGTATGATATGTTTCTAAATGTGTATAGAAGAAATATTTGACTCAATAATAAATGGAAAAAGGTGAAAAGATATAAGAGGAAGTAAGGCTTTTATATTTACTTTGAGCTCATAATGAGGACATTGTAGACTATTATGAATTATTCATATGAAATATAGTATCTAATTTGACCAAAAAAGTTAGAAAAATAGTACACTCAAAACTATTATTGATACATCAGGAAAGAAGTGGTAAAATAATTCAGGCAACTAATAGGATGACAGAACAAAAGCCAACAGAAAAATAACAAAAAAGAGAAAATTAAATAGCAGACTCAAGCTCTAACATGTAAATATATACATTAAATATAAAATGACCTAAGTATATAGATTGGAAGAGTAGATTAAAAATCATGATCCAACTCTATACCCTCTACAATGTACTTACTTCAAATGTGACAGTATAGGGAGATTCAGAAGAAAAGGATTGGAAAAATACTGTAAAAAAGCACCAGTTGTCACCAGGGAAATAGATTAGGAAGCTTCAGACCTTATTTTCCTTGATACATGAAAATGTTTAGCCCAAAAGGTTTTATGAGAATGCCAGAAACCAGTTGGGAAATGGGCAATATTTCTAGCATTCTCACAGCCAAGAACTGCACAGTGAATTGAGCAAAAAAACCAGTTTATTTCTACCATGTCAGTCTCTCCTCCAAGTTGGTACAAATTACAATTAGGAAGAAAATGCAACTTGTAGTTTTTCCTTTGGGAGAAAGCTCCATCTAATCCTTTGGATTTTCAGGAGCTGCACAAGGGACTATTTTATCTTACTTGACTCAGAGCCTTGATGCTGTGTTTTGGCTGCCTGGGAGCCACTGTGAATAATTGTTCAGCAGTTTGCTGTAGGTAAGAGAACCTTCAGTACTGCACACAGACACTAGAAGCTGTAAGAGCTTATAAACTCCCAAAAGGAAAAAGAAAGCTGGAAAACTTCCCTAGGTGGGAAATTATACACATAACCTCCAAGAACACACGTCTCTATAAAATAAAAGAATTGAGAATCTCTCCCTGAGCTGATTCATGAAGGACTTCCCTGTATGAAATCAATGAATGAACAGGTGGCTGTTTTTCAAATGTCAGACTCCTCACAAAAAAATGAAAACATACAAAGAAATGGAAGCATGACTCAATCAAATGGACAAAATAAATCTCTAGAAACTACCTTTACAGAGCCAGGTGGCTGTGAGTTACCTGACACAGAATTCAAAATAATCATCTTAAAGAAATCTAATCTATTAGAACACCAAAAGAAAAATAAAACCAGAAAAATCATGCATGAACAAAATAACATCAATAGTTTGAAATTATTGAGGAGTCACATAGAAATTCTTAAGAACACAATAAATGAATTTTAAAATATGCTGAAGGATAGCAACAGAAGGCTTTCTTAAGCAGAAGACTCAGTGAACTCAAAGGCAGATAATTTGAAATTGAGTCAGGGGAAAAATAGCCAAAACAAACCAAAACAATAGATTCATAAGAACTTATGGAACACATCCAAGTGTGTGTGTATATATACATATATACACACACAAATCCCATATATATATATGGGATTTGAAAAGATAAAAGAGCAGATGGGGTCCAGAGCTTAACTGAAAAGATAATGACTGAAAACTTTTCAAATCTGAAGAAGGAAATGAACATACAAATTCAAGAAGCTCAAACAACTTCACCTAGAGTGATATAAAAATAAGCATAATAAAGCACATTAAAATATCAGTGTCAACAGAGAATCTTGAAAATATCAAGAACAAAATTTCTCACCATATATAAGGGAAATACCATTAGATTGTAGCAGATTTTTCTGTAAAAACATTACAGGCTAGAAGGAAATTAGATACTATATTCAAAGAGGAAAAAATCAAGAATATTATAAAATGGGATCTTAAAATCAGAATTTGATAAAAATTGAACATTTGTTCATCATGAAACCTAGCAAGCTGGGAGTACGAGGGACAATTTATGATCTGAAAAAGTTCCTATTTTTTAAAAATAGCAAATGTTGTACTTATTGGTGAAATATTTGAACTTTTGTCCCCTATACAGAGAATAAGACAAGAATACCTCTTTATGCCTGTTATTCAGTGTGAAACTTGTAGATCTAGCTAATTCAGTACAGTTAAAAAATGGAAAAAAATATACAGCTTTGTAAAAGTAGGCATAAAAATGCTATTACTCAAAGCAACATGATTGTGTGTATAGAATGACAAACTTTATTGAGGAATGCAGTGATATTTCACCATGTAAATATGTCACTATCATATATAAATAAATCAATATAATAGCCACATTAATAGAATGAGGAAACACCTATTTAATTTAATTGATTCAGAAAAGGGGGGCTGGGGATTTAGCTCAGCGGCAAAAGCGCCTGCCTGGCAAGCGCAAGGTCGTGAGTTCGGTTCCCGGTACCGGAGAAAAACCAAAAACCAAAAACAAAACAAAACAAAAAAAACAGAAAAGGGACTTGAAAACATGGGACATGCTTCTAATTTTCCCCCACTCAGAAAACTAAAAACAGAATGAAATATCCTTAAATGGATAAAAGGGATTTTTGAAGAGTCACAGATAAATTATACTCAGTGAGGAAAGACTAAAAGCTTTCCACTTGAGCTTAGTAACAAAATGAGAAAACTTGCTTTTTTAAAATCATAAGGGAAATCCAGGCATGGGGGATCCACACATCTATAATCCCAGCACTTGAGAAGTTAAAGTAAGAAGATAGCATGAAATTCAAGGTTAGCCTCAGCTAGATAGTGAGCTCGAGGCCAGACTGAACTACAAAGTGAAACCGCATCTAAAAACAATAACTAGAGATTATACTCATAATGAAATAAATAAAATCCAAAAGGTACAATAGATATAGTGAAAGCAAAAGAAACTACTCAAAAGGAAAGAACAACTGGGATGAGGGAAAGGAGAAAAGAAGGAGGGGAAAATATATATATATATATACACACACACACACATAAGATAGCTAAGAAAATTGTACTACTAATTTCTATTAGTTTATTGAAAGGAACAGTTAGTGCTTATATTGTTTGATCAATTTTGCATACCTACATCTGGTAATCTGAGCAACCTCTTTGAATATAAAAATATGCATTGTAGTAACCATTATTAATTTCCTATCATCTTGTTTTGAAATTCTGGATCATTTTCTGTAT